GGCTCTGACTTTCTTTACTCACTGCTGTCTCCCTGTTAAAAAGACTTCATAAATTTCAATGAGTTCGAAGAGAGCTCATAAACCAATCTTCCCATAGAAGTCCCATTTTAAGCTGCTTCACCGTGAGCACATTTTTTCTTTTGCTGTCGCTTACCCTAAAATTAGATGCGCAATTAGCTTTCTTGCTTTGTGCAATCCTTTTCTTTATGCCGTTGCTAATTTCTTTTTAATTTTCCTGCTGTCTTCTGTGTTTATCTTGATCTGCTTTACTTACAAATGATCGTTTGACGGTTTTAGAGGGTTGTTCGGGTGGTTGTTGGATTTTTCTCTCTCTTTACACAATAAATTTTCAGGGGCTCTTTTAATTTTATGGAGAAGTTTAAGCGCTACAATAGATTCGTCTGATGAAGGGTGTTTTTAGTTTCATGGCAAGAGAAGACTTTAATCCGTCTCCTGTCTTTTCACTAAGCCCTTGGTGATCTTAGCATGCATGCATCCCTTCCAAAGCAATGTGTGTGTGTGATTCCTTTCACTAGTGATGGTCTACTGAAGGACAAAGTGCCTTTTATTGCTGCTACCTAAAGGTGTTATTTCCCTGTATGTGTGCGTATACCTTTGGTACATCAATGACAGATAGTAGGAGTATAAATAATAGTGTAGCTACTGTAGGATGGGCAATGGATGCACATCTGAGCCACACCGAGTATATACCTGCTGTTTTTAGGCAGGCAGTGTCAGTGGAGGTGAATACAAACCTGTGTTACGGTGGCTATATTACTATTTATAGTCCCGTTGAGTTACCATGTAAGTATAGGTAGGCAAGCAGGAGAATCGCATTCCTAAGCTGTAGTGCAGACATAACCTAAGGCCAGGTTTACACGACACCCAGAAGGTCAGCTTAAGGTATACAACTCCAGCTATAACGTAGCTGGAGTCGATGTACCTTAAGCCAAGTTGGCACCAACTCCGCAGCAGGAGGTCAATGGGAGAAATGCTCCAGTCGACTTCCCATATTCCTCATGACAGAGGCACCCTCAAGCTCCAGTCGACTTCCCATATTCCTCATAACAGAGGCTCCCTCAGCATTTGACTTAGTGTGTCTTTACTAGACCCACTAAATTGAACCCTGGAAGAATGATCGCCAGAGCGTCGTCCCTCAGCATTTGACTTAGTGTGTCTTTACTAGACCCACTAAATTGAACCCTGAAGAATGATCGCCAGAGCGTCAATCCTCCGTAAGTGGCTACATGTCCTAAGATACAGGTTGAACCTCCATAGTCTGACGCCCTGAGGCCCTGTCTGGTCCCAAACCAGGGAATTTGCCAGACCAGAGGACATCATCTTGTTGCCGGCTGTGGGCCTTCACTCCAGTGGCAGCAAAGGAGTCGGCATTGACGGAAAAGGGGTGGGGGGAGGAAGAGGCAGAGTGGCACCGAAGCCCTGTGGTTGGGGGCCATGAGCAGACCCCTGCAGCTGGCAGCAGAGCCTCATGGCTGCTGAGCCAGGCTCCCAGCCCCCGGCCATGGGACTTTGAAGCTCCCCTACCTCTTCCCCCTCCCGTCCCTGCTCTGGCAATGCTGACCCCTCTGAGCACCCGCCCCCATCCCTACTCCCTCCCTGAGCTTGAACGCCGCAAATGAGCTATTTGCAGCACTCGAGACTCTGGGCAGGTGCAGGAGGAGATACTGAGCACAGGGCCACCAGCTATTCCCCGAGTGCTTCAGCGCCGGAGCACCCACGGGTGCCCAATCAGGGATGTTGCTGGACACGGGAAATCCAGTTTCTAGGGGTCCGACCTGTACTTAATGACACACTCCCCTGAAAGGCAGCATGATTTAGGGTTCTGGAAATGCGGGCTGTGACCAATAGAAATGCTTTGTGAGTGCTGCATGCTGGCCTAATTCTGTGCTGGTGGTGTCTGCACGAATATCTTGGATTGCAGGTACCCATGTGGAAAGGGTTAGTCAGGAAGGAGAGGGCTCAGGGTGGTCCCTTAATCAACCTCTGCCTAGGGGTGATTCCGAGGCACTGCCAGCACTCTTGGTCCTGATGACTCGGCTTGCCCCCCCCC